GCTCTGGCTTACAGAGTGAGACCCTCATGTGGAGCCCCAGTGTGCTGATGTGTGAAATGAGGACAATGATAATAACTTGTTAGTATTTGAAAAGTTTTTAAAGTGCTGCCTTGGATTTGGACCATTTCTTTTTCTAGTATTTTTATTCTTCAGTAAATGAAATTAAAAATCTCCATTCCTTACATAAATGGGACTCGTTAACAAGCATATTACCTATTTCATTTGCAGTCACGTCCGACTCTCTGTGACCTCATTTGGGGTTTTCTTGGCAAAAATACTGGAGTGGTTGCCATTTCCCTTTCCAGCTCATTTTTCAGATGAGGATACTGAGGCAAACAGGGTTCAGTGACTTGCCCAGGGTCACACAGCTAGCAAGATGAGTCTTCCTGACTTCAGGCCTGGTACTCTATCCTCTGTGCACCTAGTTGCCCCATGGAGATTTAGATAGCACTTTTGGGCATGTGAGTCCTCCCTGCTTTGAGATTTATAGTTACTTTTATTTCAGTTAGCCAACCAACAAGCATTTATTAAGTGCCCACCATATGCCAGGCATTGTGCTAAATTCTGGATTTACAAAGAAAGGCAAAAACCAGTCTTTTCTCTCCAGAAGCTAGCAGCCTAGTGGGGGAGACAGCATTTAAACAGCTGTGTGTAAACTGTATATGCATAGAGATAGAAGGAAGGAGAGATCATCAGGGCTGTGGGACAGCCAGTGAAAATGCCCAGAGTTGGATGATGGCTATGGATTGTCTCGTTGGAGCAACAGTAAGGATGTCGCTAGGTCACAGAATACATGGGATTGAGTAAGAAGACTGGAAAAGTAGAGGGGGACAGGTGACAGGCTCTGAATGCCAAACCAGACTCTCGGTTACTCCAGTTTATCCACTACTAGGGTGTCATGGGCAGCCTGTGCTTTAGGAAGACCAGGTTGGTAGTTGAGTGGAGGCTAGACTGTAGTGGAAAGAGATTTGTGGCAGGGAGACAAAGGTCCTGCGGGCGAGGCACACACCTGCACGGGGTGGGGCGGTGGGAATATCTGAGGAAAGGAGTAGGTATATGTGAGAGACATTGCAAAGGTCTTAGCGACAGGACTTGGCAACAGATGGGAGGGGAGGGAATGAGGTGCCTGGGTGACTGGAAGGATGGTGCTCTCAGCAGTAATGTGGAAATTAGGAAGGAGGAAGGGTTTGGCATTCGGTCTGGGGCACGTTGAGTTTAAGATGTCTGGAGGATATCCAGTGTCAGTTGTCCAATAGGCAGTTGGAGATTCGAATCTGACATTAAGCAGAGAGGGCTGAGTTGGCAGTCAGCAAGAGGCAATAATTGAGGCCATGGGAGCTAGTGAGCTTATCAATTGAAATATTGTTTTAGAGATCTTTGATTTAATTGCAACTTTTTTGGTAGTGAGTCTGCCAGAACTTAGCTAGACTGGGTCCTGGATAACAGATATGTAGTGGGGCCATGCTCAGAACCTGCCAGGGTGGGGGATCCTTAGTTGCATGGCCCTCAGTGGCCCTGGGTCACTTTGGTGAGAAAGGGAGCATTGTAGCAGAATGTGAGTGGAAGTTAAATGGGAAGAAATATTTGTGGGGCCTGTGTCTCAAAATTTGTGGGTGGGAAATTTTAATCCTAGAAAAATGCATTTATTGAGTGATTAAAATCTAGACTGTGAGTGCATAACTTTAAAAAAAAAAGAGACACCCCCTCCCCCCATGACACCTTCCACTGAATCAGGTGACAGAACCAGTCAGATTTTGCCAATGTTACTGATGAAAAATAAAACTGAGCAGTTTTGCAGTGTTGGACAGAAGGTCAGTGTGATCTAGAAGTCTTTGTGTTAATAATCAAGGTATTCAAGCTATTGAAATTAACTTTGCCATATTCCTTATTTGTATCTTGATGCTGTTTCTGAAATGGAAAACTAGGATAATGACTTCACATCTGAAATGGCGCAATAAATACTAAATAAGGGCATAATATAATGTCCAGATTTCAAGAAATTCTTGCCAGTGTTTCAGTATCTTTTTAACTGTAAATGGGGGAGAGTGGTGCCAGTGTCTCCTAATGTGGTTAATACGTACGCATTTTCTCTACCACAGAATTTGTAGGAACTTGGAAAATTGCCAGCCCATCATGCTTTTGTATACGAAGCTGCACTTTTTTCTGGTATTTCAGAGTAGGTTATCACTCTTGAGACCCTGGCTAGGTTGGTAATTATTCACTTGTATTATTATATGTAAGCTGTATTTGAGTAATTATTCTTCTCTTTAACTGCAAAATGTGTTTTATTGTGCTTTTCTGTGAGAAATTTTATGAAGGGCCTGGGGAGTGATAGAGGATTAGAAACCCACACTGTTGGTATAAAATAGGTAAGGAGAATAGTATGAATTGAATTCAGAAGTTAAAACTAATGACTTTTTTTTTCTAACTCCTGGGGTATGTTAAACTGCCTTAGTGCGGAAGAGAGATTTTAGAGACCAAGTTCCATGTCAGAAGACTTTGTAGTCATTTTACAGTCATTGAGATTCAGTGACTCTGGCCTCCACTGAGATCCATCTCCCCAACTGCAGGCATTTTCACTGGCTGTCCTCCTGTGCCTGGAATTTCTCTTCGGCTCTGCCTTGCCTGGCTTCCTTCAGTTTCCTACTAAAATTTCATCTAATAATGGAAGCCTTTCCCGACCTCCTTTAATGCTCGTGCCTTTCCCTTTTATTATTTACAATTGATCCTGTACCTATTTTGTTTGTACATGAGTGTTTGTAGGTTGTCTTCTTCATTAGACTGTGAGCTCCTTGGATTCAGGGGCAGTTTTTTATCTTTCTATCCCCAGCAAATAGCATTGTTCCTGGCGCATACTTAGTAAATGCTTGTTAACTTGATTTGACTTAAAAACTTAAATCTTAAAAACTCCTTTTAGGCTATAGTATTTAAGGAGACCAGTGTTATCTGATTTTCTTTCTTTTTTGAGTGAGTCATGTGTTTGTAAACCTTTGTGCTAATGTAAGAGGTAATGGGCTAGTAATTTTAAGTAAAGCAGATTGTAAAATGTGCTCTTCATCTTGTTCAGGTTCAAAGGGTTTGTTGACCTGTTCTTGTGGTCTGAGCCATGAGTGTCCAACCAATGCATTGTGCCAAGCAGTTCTTGGGATTTTTTTCCAGACACCAGGCAATCATGGCATCCCTGTAAGTTTGTGTTTTGATTTTGTAGGATTTAACCTGAAAGCTGATTCTGAGGATGAAACTGGAAATTGGCTCTGCCTTATACAAGGCTAGTGATGGCATTTCATTTTCAACTTATTTAATAATAATCTCTTTAGTGCTTAGATAAAACTAAGTTAATCATAGTGTGATCTTTTGTTCTATTGGGAGAATCAGAAGGATTTCTGAATCCTCTTCAACATTCGCTTTTTTTCCATGCAAAACATATTTCCATATTAGCCATGTTGCGAAAGAAAATGCAGACCACCCCACCCAGGAAAAATAAAGTGAAAACACGTGTGCTTTAGTCTGCATTCACCCTCCACCCGTTATTTCTCTGGAGGTGGATAGCACTTTTCATCACAAGTCCTTTGAGATTGTCTGGGATCATTGTATTGCTCAGAATAGCCAGGTCATTCAGAGTTGATCCGTACAGTGCTGCTGATGCTGTGTGTGATGTTCTTCCGGTTCTGCTCATTTCACTGTGTATCAGTTCATATATAAGTCTGAAGTTGTTTTTTCCTGAGCATCCTGCTCATAATTTCTTACAGCACAACAGTATTCCATCACAATCATGCACCACAACTTGTTCAGCCATTCCCCTGTTGAAGGACGTCCCCTGCATTTCCAATTCTTTGCTACCACAAAGACAGCACTATACATATTTTTCCTTTTCCTTTGATCCCTTTAGGGTAAAGAGGTAGTAGTGGTATTGCTGGGGCAAGGGATATGCACAGTTTTATAGCTCTTTGGGTGTAGTTGCAAATTGTTCTCCAGAATGGTTGGATCAGTTCTCAACTCCACCAACAGTGTCCCAATTTTCCCACATCCCCTCCCGCATTTGTCATTTTCCTTTTTCAACATTCTCTTTCTTTTTCTTTCTTGTTTTTTGTTTTTAGGCAATTTGGGTTAAGTGACTTGCCTAGGGTCACACAGCTGGTGTCAGGTGTTTAGTCTGAGGCTGGATTTGAACTCAGGTCCTCCTGACTTCAGGGCCGGTGCTCTATCCACTGCGCTACCTCCCTGCCCCTGACATTCTCTTTCTTGAAGTGAGAGCTTAGAAGCAAGGCCTCCTCCTTGTGTTCCTTGATCTTCCTTCTCCTTCTGTAAGTCAGCAAGCATTCATTAGGCTACATCCATGTGCTAGGGGCTGTGAGTACAAAGAAAAAGAGTAAAGGAGTCAGGGAACTCATCTGGTATGGAGGGGGAAGCCACAGGTACAAAGACGATTTGGTACAAAGTGTATGCAAAATCATTTCTAGGGGATTGCCCTCCAGCCTGGTTGGATGGTAGTCGGGTGGGGTAGGGGAGGGGTCAGGAGAGGCTTCCTATTTGTGGAGACATGAGGTGAACTTTGTTAAAGAAAGCGAAAAGGGATTTTTTTTCCAGGTATGGGGGATAGCCTGGGCAAGCCTAGAGAGGAGAGATGGAATGTTCTGTATGAGGGGTAGCAGGGAGACCAGTTTGGCTGGAACAGGGGTGCTGGGGTTTTGATAGTTTTCTCCATTTTCCAATTCTCAATCTCAATCTTTCTCTCTCTCTTCTGTCTCTTTTGTCTCTGTCCTCCCTTTTCCCTTTCTCTGTCTCTCGTTCTTTCTCTCTCTCTCACACACACACACGCACACACACACACACACACACACACACACACACATGCACGCACGCATGCAGCTCTACTCTTGAGGCTAGAGTGAAATGAACATCATCTTTGGACCATTTTGAGAATGACCAAGTTCTTTCTTTGCTTTCAGTCTGTCTAAGTCTGGAGATAGAGAAGAGGGCTGCGAAGACATGATTTGGGGGAGGGAGGTGCATCAAACTTTGCTTCTTTCTCTTCCTTCCTTGATTCTACTTTACTCAGATGGGCAACTCTTGTGCTTGTAGCCTCCTAAGAACTTTCCCGTGATGTCTTCCCAGGGTTCAGATCTCTAGTTTCACAGTGCTAGAGGAAATCATCTCATAATCTGTAAATGAAGGAGTTGGATTAGATAATTTGTAATGACCAGCTGCAAAATCCTAGAAACTTTGTTTCATTTTTTGGTTTTGATTTGTCTTCTCATTTTGGGATGCTTTGCTTTCTGGAAGACAGGAAGCTAACACAGAATGGGGGGAGAGTCACAGGTACCGAGACAATTCAGTATAAAATATATGTGAAGTCACTGTTAGCACTTGGTGGGTGGGGAGTCAGGACAGGCTTACTGTGGGTCCTGGAATGTGGCTGCTCAGCTTCCTTTTCGGCTCTGGGTTGTTTCTTAGAACTAGCCCTGTGGAGTTTCTTTTCTGTTTGCCATCCCGTATTCTGGGTATAGTGAATACTCAGGTGGGAGGAGGTGCATCATGCACAATTGAGATTCTAGTTTGGCCCAAGAAATAGCAAGTTTCTTTCTTCTTTTCCTACCAGGATGTTTGGGGGAAAGAGGAGAGTTTCTTAAGGATGAGGATGGACTTAACCTGCCAAGTGTGATGGCTTCTTGATCTCCTTTATAAGAGGCGCCAGATGGTTACCACCAGGAAAGATACACATTTTTCAAGTCAAGCAAATCGGTTTTTTTCTTTTTGTCATGGTGCTCCTTCTCTCCAGTTATTGGGCAGGGAGCTCTGACTAAGTGGAACAACTTTCTCTGATTCCTCACATCCATTCTCTTTCTTTCAAGTCAGTTTATGGCCTAATACAGCCTAATACTTACTAGCTGTGTGACTTTGGGCAAGTCACTTAGCCCTGTTTGGCTCAGTTTCCTTATCTGTCGGATGAGCTGGAGAAGGAAATGGCCAACTGCTGCAGTGTCTCTGCCAAGGAAATGACACGCCAACAGCAAAAGTCCTGTGGAAGAAGTTTGCTTGTTTGATAAAGGTCAGCCTCAAACTAACTGTATGGTAATAATAATAATAATAAAGAAATGGGCATTTCTTAAGTGCCTACTGCGTGTCAGACACTTCACAGATATCTTATTTGTTCCTCATGGCAACCGAGGGAGGGGAGTGCTGTTATCTCCATTTCACAGTTGAGGAAACTGAGGCAGAAATTAAGTGACTTGTCCAGGGTCACACAGCTAGAAAGTGTCTGAAGCAGGATTTGAATCCAGCTCTTCCAGACTTTAGGCCCAGTAATAAAACTTATATTCTTTTCACTTAAAAAAAAAGAACCAAAATCCTTGTAACAAATGTGCGTAATTAAGCAAAGCAAATTCCTGCCTTGATCACGTCTAAAAATCTATACGTCTTAATCTGTAGCCTGAGTCCATCAGCACTCTGTCAGGAGGTGCCTAGCATCGGTTCTTGGGAATTATTCATCGGCATTTATATCTCCTTTTAAGGTTTATGAAACACTTGTGTCTCTGTCTCCTCCCCAGCCACTTGGTGAGGTAGGCAATACAGATATCGTCCTCCTTGGCAATGAGGAAATAGCCTGCCAGAAATCTCCCTGTGCTCACCTGGCCGGCAGAGGTCACTCTGGACTTTTGAGTCCTGCCCTCCTTTCCGGAAGGCTCCCACTGAGTGCTTCACAGAGCCCTTTGGGTGTCACAGTGGTGGCCTAAGAGGTTTGTGCCAGAAGTCCTTTACTGGTGCCTTAAGCAGTGACTGATTCTAGACAGTATTAGGCGTCCTAGATTGTGTCACCTTGGGGATTTACAACACTTTTGTTGTTGGGTTTTTTTTTTGGGGGGTGGGTTGGGGCCATTGGGGTTAAGTGACTTGCCCAGAGTCACACAGCTAGTGATTGTTATGTGTCTGAAGCCAGATTTGAACTCAGGCCCTCTTAACTCCAGAGCAGGTGCTCTATCCACTGTGCCACCTAGCTGCCCCAAGTTATTGTTGTTCAAAGGGATTGGAGGAACAGAAACTGTTGGGAGCCACTGCTTGACTCCCATGTTGCTTCCTGGCCTCTCCGAAGAGTGTGCTGATTATTCCTGGTTTATCAGACCTGTTGCTGCCTCCATTTCCTGCTTCCCCCATCTAGGATCAGGCCAGTTGGCTTCTTGCTGTACCAGGATGAACCGGTGGGCCATCTGTGAGCAGCAGAGTTTTGTAATTCTAATGGGAAGTAGCTGAACTTCTAGTTGAAAGCTTCCTGTGGATGAAGATGATATTGTATGTGGTTCTTTCCTCCTCTACCTTTCCCTGGCATGCCCTGCTGAAAGGGGAGCCGGGGAGATTAGGACTGCTTCTATCTGATAAGAGCCCAGAAACTTAAGTGGCAGCAATTCCCACGGTGGCGGTCGGAGCCCAGAGAGAGCTTGATCAGCCGCCTTCCTTGAGCCTGTGAGTATGGCCCATAGATTTCAGTTTGTCATCGTGATCATACTGAGCTGCATTGGCATGGGAACCATTAGAAAGAAGTTTGGACCCTGGGAACGGGTGACCCCAGAAGAAGGAGACAGGGCCAGTGTGGCCCAGGAAAACTGCAAGCCCTGGGATCTCGCCCTGACTTTATGCTGCTGGGATGGGCGAGGTATGCCACTCTGTGCAGCCTCCATTTTCCCATCTATCAAATGAGGCTAATAAAACTAATGAGATAGTGTATGAAGGTTGGAAGGCTCAGATGAAATGTCAGGGGCTTGGTGACCCTTGAAATGTACTTTACTCATAGTTTTTCTTGTTATGGAGTCCCAGGACCCGAGTTTGAATCCTGTCTTTTTAATTCCTGTGATTGTGGGCAAGTCATTTTACCTTTTTGAAGAGTTTTGTTTTTCTCGTCTGTTAAATGAGGATAATATTTGACCCTGTCTAGCACATAGGGTTGTTGTGAGGTCCAAATGAGATCATTTCTGTGAAGGTGTTTTGTAGTCATTAAGTACTCATTCTGGGGTGAGCCAGCTAGGTGGCCCAGGGTATAGAGTGTTGGGCCTGGACAGTCCCGAGTTCTGATCCGACCTCCCACACTTCCTAGTTATGTGACCCAGGGCAAGCCGCTAAATCTTCGTTTTCTTATCTGTAAAATGAGGATTGTAATAGCGCCTACCATGAAGGGTTCTTGTCCGGGGCTCCTGTTCTGGTATTGGGTGATCTCACCGATAGAGGTCTCTCCTTGGATGTGTTCACGCACAGTATTGCTGTTGTTTTGTTGTTGAGTCATTTCAGTCGTGTGTGACTCTTTAGGACCCCATTTTGGGTGTTCTTGGCAAAGACGCTTGAGTGGTTTGCCATTTCCTTCTCCATCTCATTTTTAAAGAAACTGAGGCAAGCAGGGTGAAGTGACTTGCCCAGGGTCACACAGCTAGAAAGTGTCTGAGGTGGGATTTGAACTCAGGAAGATGAGTCTTCTTGACTCTAGGCCTGGTGCTCTATCCACCGTGTCACCTCACATTGATATAGTGTTTCACAGTTTACAGCAGTCCTCTGAGGTAGACAGTGCGAGCATTGTTATACTCAGCCTAGAATTAATATACAAAGGTGTAAGGAGAAGTTTGGCCGTTTTTTGGAGATGCTGGAGAGAACATTTATATGCTTACAGATTTGTCCATTTTCTTCCTGCCACATTTCCATTGTGTTTTTAAACAACTCTAGCCTTCGGGACTAGCTGAAGGAACTTGGGGTGATTATCCTAGAGAAGAGAAGCCTTGGAAGGCATGTGCCAGCTGTCCTGTGGAAGAGGTGATCATGTTACTCGGCTTTGCCCACCAGGCCTGGAGGAGGAGCTGCTGAGAGGCAGGTAGAGGCCGAAGCGAGGGAAACCCTGAGCAGCCAACACCTTCCCCAAGGGGAAGGGGCTCTGGCAGCATGCACATAGCGGGTTTCTCCCTCAGTTGGGTCTTTCAATCAGAGGCTGAATGCCCACTTACTTGGGGATGATGTAGAGGTATGGATTATGCTAGATGACTTCTCTTTTCTGAGACTTGGGATTCGAAGATGGGCACTGTTGGCCAGGCCAAGGGTGTTTATTCTGGGTAGTCACAGGGATGGCAAGTCTTTGAAGCCAGCGTGCCCTCACTAGACATCCAGGAAGCAAAGGCTTCAATTCAGAAAGCTGTTCACAGGTGGAATATTCTGTCTCCTGAGGCAGTGAGTTCTCTGTCATTGGAGCTCTTCAAGCCGAGGCCAGATGGCCGCTTATCCTGGAAATGGGATTCATTGTGAAGGAAATGGTCATATTTTATAGAAGGGGAGTATTGGTCTGATTACTGTTCCCCAAACAAAAGGTGGAAGAGAGGTGTGACGGTGAGCCGGTGGCAAGACGATGTTCCAGGTGAACCCTTGTATGAGCTGGTCTGCGGTGGGCTGTGTGAGAAGGCGCCCCTCATTAGCCAGTCAGAGCACCTTAGCGCCAAGGCAGGCAGATGGAGGCCCTCGGGGCATAGTCCTTAGTGACCAAGAGGGTTCTGTGGCCGAGCACATGGCAAGAAGATGGATTCCTTGAGCTTAAGGCTCTGGTTTGGAGGCCTGGCTTTGCCACTTGACTGTGTTACCTTAGGCAAGCCATTGCCTTTCTGTGTTTGTTTCTTCATTTGCAGAACAGGAATGATACATGTTCTGTCTATGTCATGGTGTTATTATAGCAAGTGAAATAATTAGGCTGTATGTAAAAGCACTTAATAACCACAAGAAACTAAATAAATGTTGGTTATTTGTATTCTTCTCCCAGTTATTACTCTTTTGCAAACCCTGTCTCTTATTCTTCAACTTACAAGGATTTCTCTTCAGCTTGGAGGGACATTTCTAGCAGGCATACGTCCAGGGTCCTCTGAAGATTTACATAGCACATGTCTCACATTTCCAGGAGTCATGAGGGCTGCGTATTAGATGAAAGAATCAGGATTCAAAATGATTTTTTAACAAAATAGGATAATGGGCTGAATTAGATAAGATTGAATTTGATAAGGGTAAATATAAAATGCCTCACTTGAGTTAAAAAAACCAGCTGTACAAAATCAGAATGGGGAAGGGTGTAGCTGGACAGCAGCTTCTAGATAGGGCCGTGGCCCAAGAGTCCAGAAGACTTGGGTTTAAGTCTGCCCTCCCACACTTGTTAGCTCTGTAATGTTGGGCAAGTCACATAATTATTCTAACCTCAGTTTTCTCATCTGTAAAAAAATGGGCTTTGGGCTTCATGACCTCCAAGGTCCTTTCTAGCTTTAAATCTCTGATCCTATGAGCCTTTCTGGCTTTTTTTTTTTTGTAAATTGTAACCTCACTGTGAGTCAGCAGTGTGACGTGGTTGCCAAAAAGGTTAAACAAAAGATTAGCTCTTATTACTGAAAGTCTAATGTCCAGAACAAGGGAGGCGAAAGCTCTGCTGTCCTCTGCTCTCGTAATAGCATATCTGTGGAGTTGTATTGTGCTCTGGATATGACAATTCTGGAAGGTGACCAAGAAGCTAGGACACTTAGGTGCTTAAAATATAGTCATAGTGAGAATCGGTGGATCAAACTGGGAGTGTTTACTCTGGAGAAGAAAAGAATGGTCCTGAGCTCTGTCTTTTGAGTGTGTGGAAGAGGGATCAGCCTCATTTTGTTGGGTGTGCCTAGAAGGCACAGCTGGGGGCTGTGGGGGAAAGTTGCTGAGATACAAACTTTAGCTTCTTGGGCCTCTCCCTGAAGCTGTTCTTCCCTGAAGGAGCACCTTCCACCTCCCGAGCTAGGGAGGTCTTCAGGCAGAGACTTGGATGGCCACTGGTGTTGGTGTCTGTAATAGAGTTTCTTGTTCAGATGTCCGTTTGCCTGGTTTCTCCCTGGTATTCTCTAATCGGATTCTTCTTCTCACTCTCCTTCAGTGTTCGGGTGGATTTACTTTAGGGAGTGTTAAAAAAAATAGGCGTCTAGTACACTTGTGTGTTTGTACACATGTTGAGGAGTCCTGGTGTTTTCTCTTTGTCAAGGGCCAGCTTCTGTGCCTTTCCATGCCTTGGGGCACCAGGTGTCACCTTGTGAGCCGAGGGGCCTGGAGCTGGAGTCATCTCTTTGTCACTTTCTGTCCGGGGGGGTGTTGGCCAAGCCTCTGGGCCACTGGAGCAGTCAACAAGCATTGATGAAGCACCCACTCGAAAGGTGCCAGGGAGTGTGCTGGGTGCTGGGCAAGCAGAGACAAAAAGGACCCAGCCCCTCTTCTCAGGGAGCTTGGATTCTTATGGGGTCTAATAACCCAACATCTTTTTCTTTCTGATGAACGGCTCTTGGCAGAAAAATGGTCTGCTTTTGTCGGTAGCTAGGGTGTGCAAAGAGGCAGTGAGATGGCTCAGTGGATAGAGTGCTGGGCCTGGCATCAGGAAGACCTGAGTTCAAATCCGGCCTCAGACGCTTACTAGCTGTGTCACCCTGGGCAGGTCATTGAACATCTGTTTGCCTTAATCCACTGGAGAAGGAAATGGCAAGCCACTTCAGTATCTTTGCCAAGAAGACCCCATGGACAGTGTGGTCCTTGGGGTCGTGAAGAGTCCGGACAGCAAGAGAGTCGGGAAGCCCTGGGTTCAAATTCTGCCTCACATACTTGCTAGCTATGTGACCCTGGGCAAGTCACTTAACCTCTCAGCCTCAGTTTCCTCATCTGCAAAATGGGAATAATAGTAATATCGCATACCTCACAAGGTTGTTGCGAGGATTAAGTGAAATAACATGGAAAGGCCTTTGTGAACCTTGGTGCGCTGTATAAATGCTAGCTATTTTTATTTGTTAGTTGGGGCAGCCAAGGTTTAAATTTCTTCTTAATATTTTATTTTTCCCGATTGCACATAAAAACAATTTTAACGTTCATTTTTTTAAATAATTTTGAGTTCCAGATTCTCTCTTCCCCTCTCTCTCTTCTCCCCTCATTGAGAAGGCAAGCAGTTTGATAAAGGTTATACACATGCAGTCGTGCAAAACATATTTCCTCATTAGTCATGTTGTGAAAGAAAACACAAACACAAAACCCCCCAAGAAAAATAAAGAAAGTCAAAAACTAGCGTGCTTTGATCTGCATTCAGATTCCATCAGATTCCTCTGGAAATGGATGGCATTTTTCATCATAGGTCCTTTAAAATAGTCTTGGATCATTGTGTTGCTGAGAATAGCTAAGTCATTCACAGTTGAGCATTGTGCAGTATTGCTGTTGCCCTGTACAATGTTCTCCTGGTTCTGCTTACTTCACTTTGCATCAGTTTGTGTAATTCTTTCCAGGTTTTCCTGAAACTATCCCGCTCATCATTTCTTATAGCACAGTAGTATTCCATCACAATCATATACTAAAACGTGTTCAAACATTAAAATTCTTTGTCACTACAAAAAAGTTGCTATGACTATTTTTATACATAGAGGTCCCTTTTCCTTTTTTTAAATCTCTTTTAGGATATAAAGCCTAATAGTGGTATTGCTAGGTCGAAGGGTATGCACAGTTTTATAATCCTCTGGGCATAGTTGTGAAACACTCTCCAGAATGGTTGGATCAGTTTACAACTCCACCAATAGTGCATCAGTGTCCCAATTTTTCCACATCCCCTGCAACATTTGTCATTTTCCTTTTCTGTCATATTAGCCAATCTGATAGATGTGAGGTAGTGCCTCAGAGTTGTTTTAATTTGCATTTCTCTAATCAGTAGTGATGTAGAGCATTTTTTCTTATGACTATTGATAGTTTTGATTTTTTTCATCTGAAAACTGCCTGTTTATATCCTTTGAGCATTTATTAATTGGAGAATGACTTGGATTTTTATAAATTTGACTCAGTTCTCTATGTATTTGAGACAGGGGTCTTTATCAGAGAAACTTGCTGTGAAATTTGCCACAGTTTTCTGCTTTCCTTCTAATTGGCTGTATTGATTTTGTGTGTGTGTGTGTGCAAAACCTTTTCAATTTAATGTAATTAAAATTCTCCCTCTTACATCCCGTAATGCTCTCTGTCTCTTGTTTCATCATAAATACTTCACTTATCCATAGTTCTGACAGGTAGACTGTTCCACGCTCCCCTAATTTGCTTATGGCGTCACCCTTTATGTTTAAATCATGAACCCATTTTGACCTTATCTTGATACATGGTGTAAGATGTTGCTCTATACCTAGTTTATGCCAAACCTTTTGCAGTTTTCCCAGCAATTTTTGTGAAATAGCTCTTGTCCCAAAAGTTCGGATTTTTGTGTTTACCAAACCTGAGATTACTGTTGTCACTTCCTACTCTGTGCTTTGTGCCTAATCTATTCTACTCAGCCAGTAAGTAACACATTGTTTTTGATGGTTACAGTTTGAGATCCTATAGGGCTAGGTCACTGTCCTTCGCGTTTTTTTTTCCCTCCTTCATTAATTCCTTTGATGTTCTTGACCTTCCCCCCCCCCCCGGATGAATTGGCAGCCAACCCCTGCCATTCTCTCTGAGAAGGAGCCATTCTTTTCTCTTCCTGCAGGTTCCTAGGATTATAAGATTATGGATTTTGGGCTGGAAGGGATCTTTGAGCTCATGGACTCCAACCCCTTCATTTCACAGATGAGGAAATTGAGGTCTAGAATGGTTAAGTGACTTGTGCAGGGTAACACTGCTGGTAAGTGTCTGAGATGTCATTTGAACCCAGGTCTTCCTGACTCCACCCAAGTCTTTCTGTCCTCACCATGCTTCATGTCAGGAAGTAGCAGATTTCTGGTTGGACAGTGGGGAATTCTTCTTTGGGTGAGAAATTCTAACTTCTTGGCTGTGTGGAATAGTATGAGTTTCTATATCCTGTAGCAGTAGAATCTTTGGGGTGGGGAGATGGAGATGTAGCCCTGCTGTCCTAGAGGCGAGCTGTTTCTTATCATAGAGTTTCTTGCTGTTGAACAAAGCTCTGTTAGGATCCTGCTTTTATGATAGATTTCTTTGTTTGTAGGAATTAGCCCATAGCACCAACCCAGCTTGGTAGAAATCCATTGGCTCGAAGTCAAGAATAATTTTCTCCTGACCCTAGTTATGAATCATAAAGAATGAATAAATGAAAAAGCATTTATTAAGTGCTCACTGTGTTCATAGCCCTTTGCTAAGTCCTGGGAATAGACAGCTCTGTGCCTAATAAGGGAAAGACACCTCAGAGAGAGAGGCTGTTTGAGCTGTAGTTTGAGCTGCAGGACAGACGGAAGGGCCATGAGGCTCCCAGGGTGCAGCAGCAAATCAGAAGGTTGTGTCTCTTTGTTGGTGTCACTTCTAAGAAGACCTCATCTGTTTCTGATGCTGCACTTACTGGACAGTGCCAGAGTTTTTGGTGGTGAGGGCTTTTTTTTTCAGGGTCTTCGGTGGCTCCTGCAGCACATGCAAAGAGTGTAGCTGGTGGAATCTCTGCAGGGTGTTTCTCTGGGTGACGACTGTGTGGGCCAGAATGGAAGCAGGGGAGTGGTCGGGGTGGGGGGTGGGCCTTGCCTGCCCGCAGATGGTAGCTAGTTTGTATTGGTGGTATTGGGGATGGTGGACTGCTTTTCCATAAGGATGGTACTCTCTTGATGATGGCTTTGGGGGTCATACTGGAAGCAGGATCAGTCATTATTGTTTCTGGGGCCCTGGAGTTTACTTGCCCATCATTGGCAAAAATATCCCAAAATGCAAGCCTAGCCACTTTTCAAATATTCTTCATACATGACCCTTTACTGATGTTGCCAGGAAATGGCTGCTACCATCTAGTGGGAGGGAGAATAATTCTTTTTCTTTAGCTTGGAGGTGGAAGTGTCATATTTGCTGGGAAAAAATCCCTCCTCCTTGCCCTTGCTAAAGTCATTGCAGTGAGTGTGTCCTGAGTTCAAAAGGCTTGTTCCTCATCTGAGGTTAAGTTGAGGTTACCATTTCCTTGATAGGAAGTATTTTAGTTCATTCAACACGTTACCGAGTGCCTACTCTCTTGTAAGGATATGCAAGGGCAGAATGACAGACCTCCTCCTCAAGGGACTTAGATTCTCCTGGGGGATGGCATGCCTGCAGGGCAGTGTGCAACTGAGGGAAAAGAGACATCTAGACAAACAGAGCTAGGGAAATCTGAGAGAGGAAAAAAAACCTATTGGGGTAGGTCAGGGAAAGCTGCCTGCAGCACTGATGCTGAAGTGAAGAGAAGGGTTTTGTCAGGTTAAGTTGAAGTGACTAGGTTCTTAGGCTTGCTTAGAACATTCTGTTTGACTTGGTTTGATGGTTCAGTTAAACGGGGTGACTAGATGTTGTGGGACAGGCTGGAAAAATCTAGCCCCCTTTATAGCACTGACTCAGTGAGCAAGTGCATTCCACGCTCCAGGCAGCTGCTTTAGAAACCAGCATTTTGAATGAAACTTTTGTGAAGTTGGAAGCTACCTGTGTATGAGATTGTTGGCGCCTTTCACAGAGTTTGGCCACAAAATCTTCTCTGTTCTTTTCTGTTAGTGATGCCGCTGAATTTTCATATCCTTCTGCCTTCATAGCTGGAAAATGGACTCGGGCAACAAGGCTAATACTGCATTTAGAGTGGAGTTCAGTGGACCACGGTGGGCTCTTATGAAGAAAAGTTACGCAACCGAAATCCTTATCAGATTTACAGGAGAGCAAGTTGTGGACTGATTAACTTGAGGAAGTCCCCTACTCCTTTTCACCCTGTTCAAAAAACTGATTATGGAATAAGAGTACAAGAGAGGAGTCTAAGTAACAACTGGGGAATGGCAGGAATTCAGAGCCTCAGGCATCTGGGCTTATTTCAGTTTCCTGAAGACTGGGGAGGTCTTGAACCATTGGTCAGAGTGTTTGTTAGAGCCAGTAAGTGAAGCCTAGTCTAAGTGGAATTGTTTGATATATGCTCTATTACATTACATTACACTATTTACAATTCTATGATATGCAGTATCATGTGACTATATGATGTATATCACGTGGATAATAGGGTGCATAAGAAACTTTCACTAGTTAAAAGAAATTTGGATGACTATTGGCCTGAAATTCTTGTTAGAAAGCCAACCTGGTTCCTGCCCCACAAAGAGATGGTAGGGTTAGGGGTAGGCTGGCACGGCTCGACTTTTATAGCAAAGACACTCACTGGCTGATTAATCTTGGCAGAACGTTAATCAGAGAGAACATTGACCCTCTAATGATAAGATGTGATTTTTTGGGGGGGGTTTAGAGTTGAGGTGGGTGTGTAGAGATTGTATTTCGGTGCTGCTGCAAGCTTGCGTGTTCCTAATTTCATCATAACCTGGCATTATCAGTCCAAGAAACAAGTTGGCTTTTAGAAAACCTTGACATCAAATACCGCTTGCCATGTTGATTCTAATTGTGGTTGCCAGCTGGTGAATTTCCATGTGTTCAGCCACTCCCAAGTTCTGACTCACTATTGAAGGCAAATAATCCATTGTAATTGCTGGAATAGCAACAGTTTGGCCGGAATGTGTAAACAGTGGTCATAGATGTTTCCATTGGATCGAGAAATTACCAGCAAGCCAAAATTCATAGGCCTTAGAGATAACCCATTTTTTAAAAAAATGGTTTTACAGAATTGGTTTACCTTTAAATATGAACCCTTTTTTGCTTTGTACGTCAGGTTCTCTGTAAAATGTCTGGCAGAAAAGAAAATGTGGATTATAGATTAATATAATAAGTTCAGAGGATTTACAGTGAACTATGGGGGAAGAAGATCTTTTCTATTAGTGGAAAAAAAAACCCCTCCCCCCCCTTTTAGAGAGTTTAGAGGGAAGACAGGAGAGTAAGTGCACACTACGGAAGTGTGATTGACAGCCTAAGCCAGGACTGCATTTCCTGTTAGTCCCACCTGAGCCGGAGTCTTTCTTTTTCAGGAATGGTGACAAGTTAAAATAATGCTGGTGTGATGAACAATAAGGCATAATATATTTCATTTTTCACCAGTTACCGAATTTGAGATGCTTTTTATCCCAATTGGATACTGAAGTGGGAGAGATTTTTGAATCTCGGTCATTGAAATAGGTTAGCAATTTGAAATTTTTCTGTTGCACGTGTTTCACTTCCCAGTCATGCTGTCATCCAGATAATGTCTGCAGAAGTTAAAGATTAAGCTGTTGTAAAACTGTGGATAAAAGTCGAGACTAAAGAGAACACAAGATTTAATCTTGCAAGATAAAATAGAGTGAAAGTGTAACAGCAGCTCTTCCCTCTGTTCCTACTTACTCCCTTCTCTTCTGGCTGGTTGCTCTCCTACCCCACCCCCCTCCACTCCCAGGAAAGCCAGTGGGGAATTGTTGAATTGTGGTTAAATTGGTCTTTGAATGCCAGGGACATTTCCAGACAAAGTACCATGTGTACCTGTAAACAGTTAATACCAATAATAAATGTTAATGGTTGAGTAGCATTTTCTTCAGGCCAATAGCTAAGGATGCTGCTTTAATTTTATCTTTATGATGTGATGTTTCATAGTTGTTATTTTAGAATAGATTTTTACTGATAATCCTTTTTTTTTTTTTAACATTGCCTAGATTTCCCCCCAAGTCTCTCCCCTTCTCCCTTTCCAAAAAGTTATCTTTTATTTATTTTTTTTTTGCTTTTTTTTTTTTGTGAGGCAGTCGGGGTTAAGTGACTTGCCCAGGGTCAAGTGTCATATGTCTGAGACCAGATTTGAACTCAGGTCCTCCTGACTCCAAGGCCAGAGCTCTATCGACTGCGCCACCTAGCTGCCCCTAAGAGTTATCTTTTATAACAAATAATTTTTAAAAACAAAAAAGAGAATGAAATTTAGCAAATGAAGTTGCTTTGAAATTTCTAGGCATATTATAAGTTTCATCTGAATCCTTGCAAATATTTGAATCTGAAAGTAAGTTTATCATTAATACTTAGTGAGAGAAGGCGTTGTTGTGAGCTCTCATACTTTTATGAGACGAGTGGGCAGCAGTGGCAAGTGCTTTTTAGAGTTCACACAATTTTTCTAGATGACTTAGAAGCAGCTTGTCACTCAGGCTGCAGGTTGGGCATTTCTTTTTTCACATATTAGCATAAATCATAGCATTCTAGGAGTTAAATCTCATTTGATTCAACCTCCTTATTTTACAGGCGAGGAAGCAAGGATCAGAGAGGTTAAGTGAATTTTATGTGACCACACCGATGGTAGGGGATAAATATGGGGTTCAGATCCAGGGTCACTGAAAAAGTGTAGGCCCTTCTGCATGTGGGTCTACCTCAAAGTTCTCTCCTGGGCCCTTGTCCTTTTTTCTCTCTAACTTGACAATCTCATCAGGTTCCATGGGTTCATTTATCATCTCTATGCACTTGATTTCCAGATCTTTTTATCTAGCCCTAGCTTTTTTCCTGAAACATAACACCGTTTGTTGAACATTTCAAAATTGATAGCCCACGAGTCCCTTAAACTCATCACGTCTGAAACTGAACTCATTGTCTTTCTACCAGTCCCTCCCCAGTTCTGAATTCTGTAACTATCAAGGATATATAACTATCCTTCCAGTTACTCACAGTCTCAGCATCGCCTTCATCTTTTCTTTCTTGATCATTCCAAACGGTATATCTCTTCTTAAATTTTGTGACATTTTTCTGTACAAGATCTCTTTTATACATCCCCTTTTCTCTACTCATACAGCCAATGCCCTTGTACGAGCCTTTTTCAAAATCTCCAGATTATTGCAGTAGCCTTCTGATTGGTCTTCTTTCATCAAGTCTCTTCTCACTCAAATCCATCTTCCACTTATCTATCAGAGTGATTTTCCAAACCGCTCCCTACTTAGTAAACTATAATGAATCCCTCTTACTTCTGGAATCAAATTATAAAGTCCTTTGACACCCAAAGTTCTGGTCCTTTCTCCTTTTCCAGTCATCTTGTGTTCTACTGCCTTCCCAAAGGTGAAGGCGACAGGCCTTGGCACCATATTGGATATGAAGGGTGAGAAAGAGGAATCTGGAATGATTCTCAGGTTAAGAGCCTGAAGGATTGGGAGGACGGTGTTGCCCTCTACAGTAACAGGGAGGAAGGCCGGAGGTAGGGGAGAGTTGACGGGGGAAGATAATGAGTTCCCTTTTGGACATGGTGAGTTTAAGATGTCTACTGGTTATCCAGTTTGAGATGTCTGAAATACTAGAGATCAGGGGAGAGGTTAGGGCTGGATAAATAGCTCTTGAGCATCATTTGCATAGAGGTAATAATTGAAACCATGGGAGCTGAAATGAGGTCACCAAATGAAGTAGTACAGAGGGAGGAGAGAAGAGGGCCCAGGACCAAATCCTGAGAGACATCTATGGTTAGAGGTCATGATCTAGAAGAGGATTTAGCAAAGGAGGACAGAGAAAGAGTGGTCCAGTAGCTAAGAAGAAAACTAGGAGAGAGTGTGTCCAGAAGAGAGGAGCAAGAAGGAGACAGTAGTCCACAGTGTCAGAGGCTGCAGAGAGGTCATAGAGAACGAGGATTAAGAAAAGCCATTGGATTTGACAGCTGAAAGATCGTGAGTGACTTTGTGAGAGTTGGATGACAGGTGGAGATCAGAGGTGGATGATGAGCAGCCCTGAGAGGGGCTTAGCAAACCCTCCTCACAACAGAGGTACTAGTCCTCCCTGAATTTGTCTTCCTGTCTCACCTGTGGCTCTAAGGAGCTGCAGTATGCACGCTGGCTGGTAAAACCATCTTGGCAGACAGGCTAAACCAGGTTTACCAAGAGGCCTCAACTCATCAGTGAGTTGGGGGCTGTCTAGCCCAACCATGTGAAGACTTCCCCAGGCAGAATGGGCAGATGAGAACAATTTGTTCCAATGGCCGTGAAGGTGACCAAAGCAGGTGCTATCCTGAGCCATCACCAGTCCTTTTGATTGTTGTCTTGCCGCTGGACTTCAGTGACTCTGGAAGAGAGAACGATGCTGACAATTTTGTTCAGCTCTGCTTCACATAGATCGAATTTATGTGCAACTCGTGATGCTGTTAGTCCTCTTCAAAAATGAAGGGCTAACAACAGCCCTCCATGTACCGTTTCTTTATACATGACGCTCCCGTCTCCCCTCTCCATGTCTTCGCATTGTGCCTAGAGTGCTTTTTCTTCCAATTTCCAATTTGTAGAACCCCTGGTTTCCCTAAAGACTCATCTCAAGCCCTACCTCCTCAAGGAGGCCTTTCCTGGTCCTCTCGATTGCTAGTGTTTCCTCTAAGGTTACCTGCTGGCTATCTGTGTTCGGATTTATATATGTCTCCCTTATTAGCACGTGAGCTCCTGGGGGCAGAGATTCATTTGCTCTTTACCAGCTGAGGAGGTTAGTTATAGGCAAACAAACTCTAGTTGAAGGGATTAAAAGGAAAGGAAGAAAGAGCAAAAACCTGAGATTAAGGGCAGGGTAAGGACAAAAGAAAAGCTGCAACGGAGAGGAAATAGACTGTTTGATTTAGGAGATCACAGGTGCCAGGCAGGCCTCTCTCCTTCCCCACCTTCTGGTTTGTAAAGATGAGCTTGGGAGCACTGAGAGGGAAAGGACAAGAAGACGGGATGGAGAGAAAAAGATAACAATAATTAACAGTTGTAATTCTATATGAATGGATGTGGATGGATTCCATAAAGTGGAAGAAGGTAGGAGGATGGATTAGAGGGCAAATTACAAGAAACAGACTTGAAATACAAAGATGCATACAGAGTGAAAATGAGGGGCTGAAACGAAGTCTCTTACTCAGCTCTTACTCTTACTCATAATTTCACTTAAGATTACTCTAAATATACGAAAGATAAGCCAGGGGGTTACATTGTTCATACAGGAACCACAGATAACAAATCAACCCAATACTTAAGATATATGCATCTGATAACATCTAAACACTTAAAAGCTAATAGAATCAGAGGGAAAAATATGTAATGAAAGTATTGCAGTAGGGGATCTTAAAATGCCTTTCCAGACTTTTAACCAAAAGGTAAGCCAGAAAGAAGTTCAGGATTTGAATAAAACTTCAGAAAAATTATCGGTAATAGATCTTTGGTGACTACTCAACAAGAATGGAAAAGAATTTATATACATTTCAGCTGTATCTTGTACCTTTACTAAAATTGACCAAATATTGAGGCATAAAAACTTAACCAAAAAATGTAGAAAAGCAGAAATGCTAAACACGATACTTGCTTATCCCAGTGCAATATAAACTAAATTCAATAAAAAAAAACCCTTTAAAAAAGAATGAAAACATAACTGGAAACTCAGTAACACAGTGCCAAAGAACTGGTGGGTCAAAGAAAAAATGATAGAAACAAGAGAATATTTTATCAAAGAAAATAACAATAATGAGCCAACATACCAAAACTTGTAGGACACAGCTACAAGCAGTACTGAGGGGAACATTTGTATGTCTTCACATTTTCATAAACAAAAGGAAGAACAAATCATTTGAGCATACAGTTAAGAAAACTTGGACAATAGCAGATACAGAATAGAAATTCTGTAGTTTAAGGAGAGATTAGTGAAGTTGAAAGCAAAAAGACCATTGAATAGATAAAAGGAGCTACTTTTGGGGAGGGGAGGGAGAAAGAACCCTAATAAAATAAATCTGTAACCTGATTTTTAAAAAGAGAGAAAAACCTAAATGTTGCTATGAAAGTGGAGAACTCACAATTGAAGAGGAAATAAAGACAATTCTCAGAATCTCTTTTGCCCAATTAGATGCTGCCAAAACTGATAATTTAGAGAAAGTAGGTGAAAACTTACCAAATGCCCAGATTAACAAAAGAGCTAGACTATTTAAATAACTCAATATCAGAAAATGAAATTGAACAAACCATAAGGGAACTCTGAAAGGAAAAAAAACAAACTCCAGAACCAGAAAGATTTACAAGTGAGTTCTGTCAAACACTCAGAACAGCTTCAGTGCTACATAAGCAATTTGCAACGATGAGAAAAGAAGGCACCCTTCAAATCACCTTTTATAATAGAAATGTGGTTTTGATTTCTTAAACCTAGGAGAGACAAAGATAAGAAAGAAAACTGCACACTAATATCCCTAATGTTGTTATTGTGTTTGTCCTTCATTCTCAAAGAGGACCATGACATCAGGGAGATGATGACGTGACTTGCAATTGACTTTGATTTGAGTGAGGAAGGGCTGGGCAAGGTAACCAGCCTCACTTTCTCCTCTGGAGCCATCTGGGTCCAGTGGCTAGATATTCATCAGGACGACTGGAGATGGCCTAGTGAGCATAGATGCAAACATTTTAAATAAAATATTAGCAAATAGGCTGCACAACATATTAGAAAGATTATGCACTGTGACCAAGTTGGGTTTATGCTAGAAATGCAACGAAATGAGTAAACTAGAACAAATTATACCCTGATGTTAGTATTATGAAGAAAAACAACTTTGAAAGATTTTTGAACTCTTGTCAATGCAGGGATAAACCATGAATTCAAAAGAATGAAGATGAAACACACCACATATTTCCAGAAAGAGATGATGAACTTCAAAATGCAGAGAGATGCATTTCTGGTTGTATGGGGATTTGTTTTGTCAGACTCTGCAGCTGTGTATTGAGGGCTTTCTTTTTCTTTTTTGAGCTCAATTTGGAGGGCGAGTATGACAGATTAACAAGGAAAAAAATGGGCTATTTATTCTCTGCCACATTTTAATGTAATTTACTATTGTGTGGTGGTGTTGCTCTGTCAGAGAGGAAGGGGAAGATACAGGGCATCATCTCGCTACTAAAAAAAAATATAGCTCAGTGTACTGCTTAGATGGAGAGGATTGCTTTTAATTTTACTGTACTGGGAATGAATGGGGAGTGTTTTAAAAAAATATATATATATAAATGGACAAAATTTAAAGAACACCATTTGTATTTTAAAATCATTGCATTGCTGAGACATGTTATCTAATAAAAATAAATCTTTGTGCTACTCACAACTATAAGAATGGAAGAGGCTCGATGGGTGTGGAGGCAGCAGCACAGGTTAGTTACATGTGTGAGGTCTGGGCTCATGTCTCCCTGTCCACTGGGCATACGATACTCGATGTTGTGGTTTCCCCAGTGCCCCTCGCCCTTGCACTTCCCTCGTAGTTGCCCACTGGCATCCACTAGCTGTTCTGCCTCGTGGAACCCAATCTCAGCTCTGCTGCTGTTCTCAATAGGTGCAAGATTAAAAAAGTCACTGACCACTAGAGTGAAGACAGAACCATCCGGGGCACGGATTTCCTTTGGGGCAGAGGCTGTCGTGCTGCTCTGACCTATGCTAGTTGGTTCCAGTGCATATTTAAAAAGCATTGTTCATTTGAATGGGATGTTGTTCATCTCCTTCTGTTCACTTATCCGCGTCTGTGTTGGAAGGGACCTTGGAGTTCTCTTTCAGTGCCTATTGAAAGAGATATCCCAGTAATGCCGTTGCCAAGCAGTCAGCTGAGATGGTTAGGGAAGTGGGGACTTACTGGCTTAAGGAAGCAGCCAGTTTCAGTGTTGGGGACGTTGGAGAGTTCTTGGAGGAAGGCTTTCCTGCGCTCGCTCGGATTGAAGGCTCCCTTTCTGCACCTGCCATCTTCTGTTCCTAGTCCAGCTCTTTGGAACAAGCAGGGCGGTAGGAGTGTGCTGATATTTCTGGTGCGCTCGGGCTTATCTACTCATGGGGAGCACTTGGTGTTGGTGCAGACAGAAGTGGGACAACCTGTCTTCCATATGACAGCCCTTAGTTTAAAAGAAAAGATTTTATGGAATTTTTTATTAGTTGCTTACGTCACCTAGACCTACCACTGTCTTTTTTTCTCTCCCCCTCCCAGAGCCATCCTTTATAACCAATTAAAAAAAAAAGTAATGAGGAAGAAGAGAAGTTGAGCAAATTTGATTCACGTGTAGAACGCCACGTGCGGTGTTTCCTGCATGTGAACCCCAAGCTCTGTGAAGGAGCAGGGAGACATCTTTCCACATATCTTCTTTGGGCTCAAGCTTGTGGTTTATAATTGTGCAGTATTTGGGTGGAAGTCATTGTGTATACTGAATTAGAGTTCGATGTACAGCTCGAACGTGAGTGTGGTTTGTATGTGTCGGGGGTGGGGAACCTGCAGCCTTGAGGCTACATGTGGCATTGGGTCCTTGGATGCACCCTTTTAACTGAGTCCA